ACCCGAGTAAACAAGAAGTATGACACAACTAATATTGTCATGGAAACGGAAACCGGATACTTAATTAATATCTTGAATTATTGTAGCCTGATTAGCCAGGGTCTACTGTAATTTAACAAAACGCATTAAATGTTCTACCCGTTAGTATCTAATATTAAGTAAATTTTATTTTGGTCTCATTGAAAAGATTAGAAAAACGTATGTAACCTTTAATGAATTCAGAAGTTATGTTTTAAATTTAAAAATAAGAATTATTGTAACTATAATTTAATATTATAATAAAATAAACTCAATTATTTAAATGATGTAATTAATTTTATTATTTATTAACTATTTGTTATAGGAACCATTAGTATTACCGCATATCCTAAAAGACATGGTTCACATGCGATTAGCTTTACGTTTAGACGTTTGTATACCGAGTTCGTGCAATGAAAACGATGTAAAAAAGATTTCACAATGGGGTAAGTATTTCCGTTTTGCCTATTATCTCAATGTATTATTGGCCTTTACAGTTTTAATAGAAACGTAACTTTTAAAAACATGGACGTGAAAAATAAATAGTTACGAAAGAAAGTAAACAAATTAGAGAACAAGACAACAGGGACAAATGCAGAACGTTTAGAAAAGTACACAAGCTTAAAATAATAAGTATAAACTGAGCTTATACAATTATTGGTTTTCGTTTTCGATCATTTAACAGAATTTTATCAGGACAATAATTTACTTTTAATTACTCAACTTTAATTTGTAATATACTTTTGAAATTTTAGATACATAATAACCATGAAACACAATGTTAAAAATCAGTATCATTAATGTTTGATAATACTTAAAATAACTTTATAATGTTTTCAAATTAACTACATTTTTAAATTAAAATAATTATATGGATATCATATTTTTTGCAAAATTGATATTATTGAATATTTAATATCTAGTTGGAGCTCCTTACATTTGAATAACATTAAACACACTATAGTTTGAATCGATTTTTGCAATTATTTCACTTCAATATTTCCTCAAGCATCCATACTTGCTCATTTTAAATGGTTTACTTGATGATAATGCTTTTTTGACCATAAACTATTTTTTGTTATTATTGTGAGGATCTGGATGGATACCCATCTAATTTGCATAATTTGCACTTTATAGCAAAATACATTAAGGTAGATTTATTTAAAATTTTTAGTATAGTTTAAAACCTAAAAAGGTTACAAAACTTCAACATCCTGCAAACATGCCCTATAACGCAACCTTTAGTGAGAAATGAGGATGTTTTGCTTCCTTCCTCCACACCTATTATCTTAGAATATTTACCAACACCTGATCGAATGACACAACGACTCATCCCATCGGATGACGAACTTCTGGGAAACAGATGAAATAATATTCGGTGATATAAGGGCAGGTTTCCATACACTCGGGGCAGTTTCCTCCCAGATAGAATTGCCATGACAAGGCAGTTCACGAAGAAAAGGAACATGCCATAGGACCGACAGATTATGCCCTATCAACTCGTCCAGCATACCCATCGGCCCACTGAGGGAACATGCTACGGCCATACCACTAAACAACGGTAATATGATTTATTGTAAACTCCCTCTCTCATACGGATTATAGTCTTAGTTTAACCATATGTTTTATGTTTTGTTGTTTATTTACTTGTCCTTGTTATTTTGGTCTTCTGTGATTAAATTGTTGATTTTTATATTAATGATCTTCGTAGTCGAGTATTTATTCCTTATGCATAACCGCACACAGAATCTTACCACTCGGGTTCTGTTAGAATAAGCCATTCAGTGACAAAGTGAGCAGGTCTAAAAAATCTGACGATTAGAGGGCCTTGACCCTCGTCTGTGTTCTCACATTATGCTCCATAAACTTTCTGTTGGACAAAGATCTGAATTTCTAGAAAGCCAGTCTAATACGTATTTTATGTTTTCGTTAATTATCTCGTTGAAGTATACAGTTACTTCCACTAATAAAAGATCCAAAGGCAATTAAATTATTTTTTAACATATCATAATATTTTGAAGACTCCATTTTTTATCAACAACGACAATACCAGTTTTTCCATTGAATCCAAAGCATCTGAAACCATTCTACTACTACCTTTTAACCGACTACTCATTCCAACCTTCGCTTCTCTTTTCACACCGTACCAATAATATCCACAATCATCTGGTTCATCTAAATTCTTTTCTCATCAGAAAACACAACTTTTTCCCACTCCTTGGTTCAGCTAGTCACTTGATTTAGCCTATTGAAGACTTTGTTGCTTGTGAACAGGTATCAAATTAGGTATCACTTTACCGAATAAGGAAGTGTTTACCAAACTGTTAGAGTTTATTAATACAACTGGAATGATTACAAGTAAATTTTAACAGAGGAAAAGACATCTTGATGAAACTGAAAGGGATTTGTAAAGATCTAAATTTCCGATTTGGAATCGGTAAACCTACAGATGTAATGATATTTTAGGACTGGCTTAATTCAATTGTACTATTGTATCATTTATAATTACATATATTGTACTAAAGAATGCAATTAAATAGTCACAGAGTAATACAGTTAAAAAATAATTTGCCAGATATTTTCAAAGATGCAATGTTTAAATACGTTATTGACTAATTAAGCCATTCGAAACTTTTATATCTTAAAAGCCTTTCTTGTGAAGGTAGGTAAATGTAGTGTGCGTGAGATAAATCCAAATATCTCAAATCAATGTGTAGTTCAATTTTTAACTGTTTAAAAATATTATTTCTGACGTACTGTACTCGTCTAATAGATCTGGAAATTCTAAATTTTTAAATTTATTTTTCTTGGTATCTTAAATTTGTTTCAGTATTCTACGAGTTAAAATAATTTCCAGGCGTCGTTCACTCGTGTGTCGTTTAATTACAACTAACAGGAAACACGTAACGGAAGTTCTAGCATGTCTTTCATACAGAACATGAGCATGTTTTTGTTTATCCAGGAACACAATCTATACATTGGCCATAGCAGTTTTAAAATTATTAATTATTTTAATTATTTTATTCTCTGAAACTTTCTAGCACATCGAAATTCATATATATTTCGAATTTCATCTCTAAAACTTCACTATTTCTTGGCATAAATCTTGACAGTTTAAGTTTTAATTACTAATAACACCAACTGTTAAGATTTGAAAAGTTTAAAATGATTAACTGTTATAATACCGGGTGTGATGTAACAACTTTCCATTCAAATTGTTCATTAATGTCCACAGAACGGAATAAACCACAAACGCATTGTCATATATTTACTATATAGAATTGGAAACAATGACTGGTCGTGTTAATTGTATTTATTGTAAATACATAAATTTACGGCCATGTTCTCGTTAAATATCATACAATTGTTATAGGGCCTGCACTTTTCGAAACTAATAAGCGGCGTTAGTATCGGGCTTATAAATAGGTACTGTACTTCCTGTTTCGTCTATCGTGTTATGTATAAACTGTTTATAAATTGCTTTTTTAGTTATTTACAAAGTTAAATATATTTTTAAATCGGCTTTTTTCGTTACCTTTATTGTGGATTCGGTCAAGCCCACTATGGGGCGGCCGGGTTGTGAGACACGGGCCTCAACATATCCAAAACAGACTGCATATGAAAAATTCCAGAGGACGTTCTCGCATGGTTCGATCTCGGATCCACAAGAACCTTTACTACATGAACCATCTGGCCAATAATAATTTCATGTGTGAACTTAATTTAAAATATTAAACCCATGAATTAAACAAAAAGCAAACAAAAACGTCTAATATTTACAAAGGATTTTGATGTTAGTGGCAGAAATTTCCGTCGCAAAACGGCGCCATTTTTTAGGTAAAAAATGTACGAAAGTGCAAGCTTTGCATAAGGAAAAAATTCGAGGACAGCCTCTATATTTCAAAATTATAATTTAATAAAAATTGATACTTTTGCAGTATTTTCGAGTGTAGCTGCTTCTCGAGTTGATTTCTGCCAAGTTAAAGACCAGAAAATGAAATATTCTACGGCACAAATTATTTGCATGTAAGTTATCCATTTTGTAAATTTTTATAAAACCCTGAAATATATTCAAAAGAAAAAAAACCACAATGCAAATATTAAAATAAAATCCCATTTTAATATTATTAATAACTATGCATTTTGCTCTTAGATTAATATTACTTTACATATTATTACATAAACGTATGTGTGATTTATGTTTTACGACTTATAACAGCCTTAAAACCTAAATTATCACTGTCTTTGTTTATGTAATACTATGTTAAATAATCTTATTTAATATGTTTATATTATTAAATCATATATTAGTATTTTGAATTTCATTTTCGTTGAGTAGCTTATANGGGGGTCTACTGTACTAATAACACCAACTGTTAAGATTTGAAAAGTTTAAAATGATTAACTGTTATAATACCGGGTGTGATGTAACAACTTTCCATTCAAATTGTTCATTAATGTCCACAGAACGGAATAAACCACAAACGCATTGTCATATATTTACTATATAGAATTGGAAACAATGACTGGTCGTGTTAATTGTATTTATTGTAAATACATAAATTTACGGCCATGTTCTCGTTAAATATCATACAATTGTTATAGGGCCTGCACTTTTCGAAACTAATAAGCGGCGTTAGTATCGGGCTTATAAATAGGTACTGTACTTCCTGTTTCGTCTATCGTGTTATGTATAAACTGTTTATAAATTGCTTTTTTAGTTATTTACAAAGTTAAATATATTTTTAAATCGGCTTTTTTCGTTACCTTTATTGTGGATTCGGTCAAGCCCACTATGGGGCGGCCGGGTTGTGAGACACGGGCCTCAACATATCCAAAACAGACTGCATATGAAAAATTCCAGAGGACGTTCTCGCATGGTTCGATCTCGGATCCACAAGAACCTTTACTACATGAACCATCTGGCCAATAATAATTTCATGTGTGAACTTAATTTAAAATATTAAACCCATGAATTAAACAAAAAGCAAACAAAAACGTCTAATATTTACAAAGGATTTTGATGTTAGTGGCAGAAATTTCCGTCGCAAAACGGCGCCATTTTTTAGGTAAAAAATGTACGAAAGTGCAAGCTTTGCATAAGGAAAAAATTCGAGGACAGCCTCTATATTTCAAAATTATAATTTAATAAAAATTGATACTTTTGCAGTATTTTCGAGTGTAGCTGCTTCTCGAGTTGATTTCTGCCAAGTTAAAGACCAGAAAATGAAATATTCTACGGCACAAATTATTTGCATGTAAGTTATCCATTTTGTAAATTTTTATAAAACCCTGAAATATATTCAAAAGAAAAAAAACCACAATGCAAATATTAAAATAAAATCCCATTTTAATATTATTAATAACTATGCATTTTGCTCTTAGATTAATATTACTTTACATATTATTACATAAACGTATGTGTGATTTATGTTTTACGACTTATAACAGCCTTAAAACCTAAATTATCACTGTCTTTGTTTATGTAATACTATGTTAAATAATCTTATTTAATATGTTTATATTATTAAATCATATATTAGTATTTTGAATTTCATTTTCGTTGAGTAGCTTATACATTATAATTTTCCAATTAATTCTTAATGTCAGGATAAGACTATTAATAAAAACGTGGACACTTTACTCCAAAATATAGAACGTTACAATTAATATCGACTATAGCTCTAAATAACTGTAGAATAACTAATATATATAATAGCATAATAACTGTACTGTATATTAATATAGAAGAAGCTCTGTTTTTCAATGAACAAAGCAAAATTAACAAATACTGTTGCGTATAAATAATTTAAATTATTATCATATCGTCACATTTCCGGGATGCAATTTTTAATCATATTTTAATTTTAAACATAAATATAACTTTTGACACTGAATCTGAAACTGTGGTTACTCTTTGTGTATAACGACTTTATTTTTACGTGACTTTTTTCGCAGAAAGTGAGAAAGCACATGAAAATTGTACACTTTAGAGCAGTGTTTTTCAGTGTTTTTTTTTCGTTTTTTATCTCACAGCACACTTGAACCTATAATTAAATTTCCGTGGCAAATATTTGCTCGGAATATATCACGTAATTTAAAGTTGTTTGTAAATATTCCATCCTCACATTACTTGCCAGTTAACTTAATCCTTCCTGTCTATATTTTGGTGACTTAATTAAAACCGTATTATTCTTTACCTTCCGATCCACGCTCGAGAATGGCTCGAGCAAGGTTCATAGCGTTACAAAAAACCGGGCGTTTGGGCCTCCGAAATTTTTTTTTGAACTTTGGAATGTTTTTTAGGTCCCCAAATTTTTTCAACATTTTTTTCCCGCCCGAAAAAATTTTATAGCGATTTTAATCAACCTTTAATGACGCGCGCTTCACGCTTTATTGCTTTTTAATGTTTTTTTAATGGGAGTTTTTTTTATCAAAATTAATTAATCGTTCTAAAGTTGTAGTGCACCGATTTTCCTACGGTAAAGTTATTTAAAGCTGCTTTCTGATGTCAAAAACGACCTCCGATAGTTTTTTAATTTTTTTTAATTAATAGATTTTATTATATATAAGTTTAATTAATTAGGGGGTCGGAAATCGCAATAAAAATTATAATTTTTTAAAAATATTTAAAAATATAGGTTTAGTTTCTAGTCACCCTACTTTGAACCCTTCTCCTCCCGAGACGTCTATGAGAATGTCCCGGGAAATACGACACCAGCTGTTCTCAAGGTCATCCAAATGTGTAAACAATGACTCATCGGTGTTAAATTTCGCAGAAAGGCGAGACAAAGGAAACTAAATGATGAAGCTTTTTAACCAAAATTAACGCATTTCTTTCGTTTTTTTTTCAGTTTTAAGTATTTTTTTATGCTTAATTAAAATTTTTTTTAAAAGTGGACAAGGGGTTAAAATATAAGAAGGTTACAACAATATTTATTTCATTTAATTTTCATTTGCAAAACAATAAAGAATTAACATTGTTTTAATTTGCATTTAAAAGTTGTCTGATAATTGCCTTTATAAACCTACCCAAGGTCCCTCTATTTCTAAGTTAAAATAATTCGAACTAAATATGGACAATTATAGATTTGTTTTTGATTATAAAAAAACTGTATTTTAAATGAAATAACCTAGTCTTACGCATATAGAATTTTGCTTACGAATATATATTTTCTATTACATTATGTATACGTTTATTTATTATAACAATAAAAAACTCGTCAAAATTTAAACCTCTTAAAATGATTATTTATTCTTAACCAATTGAAAATTTATTGAAGTGTTTCCGACATTAATATTTTAAGTTGTTTTTACCTCTTTTATTTAATAATTGGAGATTTGGTGATTTCCGCTGTCGCCTTGCTGACAGTCTGTTCGTATGTCCTTGTTAAATTATTATAACTGATAATACATATGAAAATTCAAAGCAGATACAGAAATCGTATGGCCGGTGGCGCCGATCAACAATATAATTAATTTCGATCTGGACAGAAAGTCATATTATTTTTTAAATTAAAATATAAAAAATTGCAGCCCAGCATTGTCACGATATCACAATAATTCGATTAATTATTATAAATCTTTATTTTTATGACAAATTTCTTCTGCCAAGTCACCATGTTATATAAAATGTACTGTGGGTAAACGGAGTGTAAAATCCTAGTTAAATATTAGATTTTTAAAAAATTATAAATTAATTTTTTAAAAAGGTATTCCAGTTAAATACGAAAAAAAATTAAAGTATGAATCACGTACATTTGAATTGGAAAAGTGTAGATAAATATAGCTAGTCTATCTAAGCTATTTGCAGATAGTCTATGCAGTTATAGAATATGATGGTGACCACATCTGTGGGAAAACACTACAAGAAACTCTTACAATAGAACCCGTTTTCTTTGGAGTTTAAGATTTTATTCTTCAAGCTTAGTTGGAAACTGTCCAAAATAGCGGATATTTCGATGATACTTAATAAATAAAAGGTTTTAAAATGGCTCCCTTTAAATGCCGTATTTTATATTACCTGTGTATATAAATCTATAAAATCTAGTCTTCAGCTGGAAGGAACGTCTTCGTACTCAGTTGGTTCTCTTCAAAGAGAGATTTAAATACTTTGTCTTTGATATATGATTTATTTCTTTCATTTTTGTGTGTACTGTATACATTTTGTCTCTTATGCAAAAAGTTGCTTAAACTTTATTTAATTTATAAATTTTTATTTTTCGTTTAGAATTATTTTCATCCTTTTGTTCTCATGGGTTATGATGGCGGGCATCTTAGAAACATTGATCAATAAGAAAGTCATATCTATTAATACACAAAAAGGTAAATAAAATTTTTTTTTTCAGTACATACTAAGTGTGAATATAGCTTTGAAAATTTCAATAGTATAAACTTGTCTATGGTATTTTCATATACTGTATAAGTGATAGCACTTAAATTGAAGTAGTAGGTCTACCTGCAAAACATAAAAAATATTCAGTTCTGTGACAGTCCGTTTTAAACAGACATTTTCCATACAAAAAATTCGGAATCTAGATCAGGTATTCTTAACCGTTTTGATTCCACGTATCCTTTTGATAGTCCAATAACATTTGTAGATATTTTCTCAGAACGAGAAAATATTAATTGGGACATAGTCACAATTATTATAATATTAATAATTAATATTTATTAATTTTAAAATATCGGCCGTATTTTAGAATTATATTTTAAATTTATTTAATTTAAGTTATATGTTCACCACCTCAAATTAGTGTCTTACCGTTGTACAGTACATAATCCTTTTCCTATTAGCCAGCTCCTGTACAGTATACTTTTCTGTTAGCAACAGTCATTTATTTATCTCCTTTCTGGAAAAAAGTTTTGAATTAAAATAACATGACTTCCAGTTTTCTTCTGAACTTTGTATATAGTTAATCGGAGCATCGTGCAGCCAAGCTTTCCACATCTTGTCTCGGCTTTCATTTACATAACTATTATCGAGATTAAAGAAGAACAGGCATACAGACGGACGATCAACAGTGAAAATTCATAGGTCCACAATTTTCTTCGATTTGCAGGAAAATAATCAATTTAAACGTGAAGTTAAACATCGTACACGAGATTATAAATAAAAGCAATTACATGAAACTATAATCATTAATTAATTTACTTTTAAAATGTAATAGGCTATACAGTACTTCCAATAAGCAACTTCAAAGTAGTAATTTATGGACTATTCTGTCAAATATGATGTAACCATGAGTGATAAAATAATACGTTTTCCATTATTAAATAGAATTCCGGAAATCTATTCTTTAGATAGTCACAATGTTCACAGGAAAGAAATAATTCCGACTTGTACGAACCTTTCACAGCCTTACTTGTTACAATTGTGGTGGTCAGAGCAGGAGTCATATTCCTCTGTTTATTCGATGGACAAGTGATACTCGTATATATACCTTCGGGTGAATACCCATAATGTAGGTAGGTCTGCAAATTTCCATCCAAAAATAGTAATGCCGAATTTGAAGTTTTGGCTAACGTCCTTGCGTGACACACATTCCCATTTATCACTCCTTAATCTCTCCTCTTAATTCTATCACGGAATGTAACGTGTAAATAAGATTATATTGCTATAAAATTCTTTATATTTAGATAAGTTTTATTTTTGTTAAAAAATTTTTTATTCTCTTTTTAAATTTGAAAATTATACTTTCGTATATATGTATTTTTAGGCGGAATTTTTGAATACGTTCTTATTGCTTCACCTTCTGAATCGATAAAAGAACTTTCCTCTATTAAAGTTCCAAAAAGTACAAGATTTATAAGCGGAATGAAAATCATCTTAATAATATTAACAATATATGCTCACGTATGTCTTCTTCTAGTTTACAAACCAACAATAGCAGGTAAGCTACTTGTTAAGGTTTTGAACATTTTGGAGAGAATAAAGTATATTCGATAATGTAAAAAAACTCTAATAAATTCTATTGAATATTCTCGATAAAGTGAATAAAACGTGTTTATATATTAATTTATATGTTCGATAAAATTACAGTTAGCTACGGAAAATTAATGGATATAATGGATGATATTTTATCGATAATTTTCAATCGTTTATTCACAATGATTGAAACATTTTTCTTTATCAGGTAAAATTTATAATAAAATTATAATTATTTTAACATACAATAATTATGTAATTATTATGAACGTAAATTTCAATATAAATAATAAATTTTTTTAATGATTTTAGTGGATTTGTGTTGTTTTATTTCCGCAAAGAAAATGAAAATGGCTCGAAAATGAAATATGTAATCTTCCTAATGAAAAGAAGCATTAAGTGAGGGAATATCTTATAAATAAAGACATTTCATATTTATTATTATCTGAGTGTTTCTTTTATCTGCAATAGATTTACAATTCTCATCCTGTGTGTAGTCGCCTTAGCTATTGTTATTCCGCTATTTGGGGATGGTCCGCAATGGCAACTTATTACTCTAGAAGGCATATATATCGAGAAAAACTGGTGGAAATTCGCACTTCATATTAACAATTTAATCAAGACACAAACATCTGTAAGTATATTTAGCGTCCTGTTTTTTAATGTATTATAAAAAAAGGATTTTTAATAGAGACTTCAAAATCAATTAATAATTCCATTTTATTCTGTGGCTTCCTCCTGTTCAAGTGTTCCTTTCTTCTACCAGACTTCAATTTGTCCAATTGCCAAAGTTTCTTTTCTAGGTTATTTCCTTGAATTCCAAGTTGCTTCTCATAAATTCCAAGTTGCTCCTCAAGGAAGTTTTCTTTTTCATTTTGTTATCTAATGTTTTTTATTTCTGTTCTCTGTTGCACCTCATCACAACAGTAATTTCAAACTATTATGGATTCTTTCACGAAATTTTTGACGTGATTTCATTACAGTATCTAGATGTTACTTGGTGTATAAATGCTTTAATGCAATTAACAGTCCTTACCGTTCCTTTACTCTTCATTCAAGACAGGTGAGGTGTTTTAATTAGTAAATTATAACATAAATTATTCGTTCATGCAATTCATTTATATAGCATTAAGTATAACAATGTGTGTATCATTTCAGATGGCCAACAGTTGGATGCATAATTATGTCTGTCTTGATCGTTTGCGGAATGATATCTTATATGTATGATGTCCTGAATAAAAAATATTACGAAATACTAGGAACATTTTTGAATACGAGGTAATTTAATTGAATTCTGTACGAGAAAGTTTGCTTGAATTGATCAACTTTTAAAGTATATAGAAATGTTTCTGAGAATCATTTTGATTTAGAAATTATTTTTCAGGAAAGTGATCAACTATCAACCAGAAAATTACCAAAAACCTTATTATTCTCATCTCAGCTCCTATTGTTTTGGCCTATTGATTGGATATATCATTCAAAAAAACAAACATTTGAAATTTGGAAAAGTATGTCTATGTTCTCTTGTAAACAATTAAGATATTTAGACTACGAATTACATTTATCTCAAAGTTATTTGATACTTCAGACATTTCTCCGTTTCATGTGGATTTGTTCGTCGACCTTGATTGCATTAATATTGTACGGTCCTTATGTGTTCAAAACTTGTACATTTCCGAACGAAAACGTAATTGTGGCATTTCAATGCGTGTCACCATTTATATGGACCATAGGAATTGCTTGGTTATGTGTAGCATGCGTAACAGGACATGGTGGTGAGAAATATTTATCATTGTCTGTTAGAATATTCTTATTTAAATAGCTTTTGTGAAGTTCTCAAAACGAGAAAGTAATAAACCTTTTAGTATTTTATTATTGATAACCTCATTAAAACCCTTATTTTCAAATCTACTTAGTGGCCATTAGCCAAAATACTCTATACTATTTTTTATTATTTATTGTTTTGTTTTTATTATATATATTTAAAGGTAAACTTTTTCAGGGGTAATTAATAAATTCCTCTCTCATAAAATTTTTATTTTCCTGGATCATGTATCTGTGTGGATTTATCTCCTGCATATTTTCATTATTGCATATGTTTACGGACAATCAAGAAGAGCTCGTACAACTACTATATTTGAGTTGGTAATTGAAAGAATATTTAATTCCTTTTAATTATTGAAATGCTTACTTGTAAATATTTTAAAAAATTCAAATATGTTTACTGTATTTAAAGTCGGAATGTACAGTATAGATTATAAACTTTTAAACTGGCTAATTTAAATACTTATCTGTATAAAAATTTCATGATATTTTTCAGATTATGGTGTATTTCTTTGTGACGAACATCACATTAATTGCCTCTTACATCGTTTTCATATTTGTTCAATCGCCGATAACTCGTCTCATTTCTAAACTCCTCCAGAAAAAGTCACAAATGAATGAAGCTGCTGCTGAATTAGAGACATTACCAGAAGTAAAACAACATTCTGAATAATGAATATTTGAATTACAATAAAATTACAAAAACTCAACGTGAATGAGTTAACGAATATGACGAATTTTACGACAAATAGACGACACTATTCTATATATAGTAGAATTTTTGTAGAGGGATTATATGTATAAATTCATATACGTATTAAGTACGTAACAAAAGTGACTGTTTATATTTGTAGTTAAATTTTAATTTAAAAAGTATTGGCTATTTAGAAGCTACTTTCAACGTAGTGACATTCTCATTATTGCGTTTTGCAGTGATACCGTGGAAGAGGGGTTCTGTTATTTGTTAACACGTAAAATTTATGCTATATTATTATCAAGTGTTGCTATTGAAGAACGATAACTTATTTTATATTAGTGTTAACTTATTAAGGTAAAAATTAGATTGCATGTGTTTCATTTCTTTTGAATGACACTACGAGTTTTATGAATGTCAAGTTATCGAGAATCGAGTTTACTGTATAATTAATTATCGAAGTTACGGCATTTTATTATATTAAACTTTATTTCATCATTATTCAAACGTTATATTAAATGTTATGCTATCTTGTTATGACTTAAATATAGTTTTAAATGCAAAATTATTTGTTTAATTGAAATGTTGATTGCTGTGAACTAAAAATTTTGTTACTTTTTACTTACTGCATCATATTAGAATTAGAAATCGTTAATGGTTCTTTGAAAAGGTGACTGAGTGTTTATATCAGAAATAAAATGATTGCATGTTTTGTCTTACTGTCAATTACCCTTTATATAAATGTTAAAGAGACGATCCGAAGTTTCTGCCTTTCTCTACAAAAACACACCGGTAAGCTTCGTCATCAATATTATGTCATTCCTTTCAACAGATTTCATCAATAAAAATTTCTATATTTCAAAATAATATTATGCTTGAAGTCTTAAGCTCTGTTTATTCATTTGTTGTTATCTTTGCATAAATTTTTGGTGTATCAAAATAAAAATTTCTGATTTCTCTTCGATAAATAAAGAATTCATAATCATTTATTGCAAGTCACGAATCTATCTTTATTTTTAATTCGTTTGTGTATTTATTTTCTTCGTTGACTTAACGTCATACTATATCTTGAAATTTTGATCCTGATCCATATCCTGATGTTGGATCTTTGTCACCCATAAACTCTTTTACCATCCTTTAGTTTATTCAAATATCCTATTTTTCTAAAGCTGTAATTTGATTTAAATCAACTTTTATTGTAATTATTCATAAAAGTCGACAACAGATTCAAAAAATTCCAGCAACAATGAATTGCTTAACTTTCAGGCGAAATTTTATGACGCCATCTGTTATATAAAATTTTTTAAATAAAATATCATATTTTTTAACTATTATAAAATGGCAAAATGCTTAATTTTGAGAATAGGAATAAGTGTTTAAAAAAATTGTAAATGCTAATAGCAAATAAAATCGTCATTAAGTCAGACCCTACTCGAGANCCCCTGAAATGTTCTATCCGGCCCGCGCGACATTATTCCTAATCTGACGAGTAAAAAAGAATACAGGCTGTGGTGGTTGATGCACCACTTAACTTGAGTGTTCGTTGATTATATAAAATAACCGAAGCTTTATATCTCACCATGAAAGTTTATTTACAATCATGTACAAAATTTTGTTTTACACTTATTGAGTAAAAGCTCGATCGGTTACAAGCATGCTTCGGTACAGAACATCCACTCGTCGTGCATAGCGTAGCCGAAAGAGAGAAAAAGAAATATGGCGGACGGCCTGCACATGTTTTTATAGCGCCACCTGGATTTTCAGATGCAGCGCTAGGTTACAATTATATTGGCCCGCCTAAAGTTTTCTTCTTTTCCTTTGGCCCGCTCTTTAAAAAGTTTGCCCATCACTGGTCTAGGAGATATTAAGAATCAAAATTGGTTCTTTATCAAAAAATTAAAAAAAAGCTTTACTACAGAGTTCTACAGCGGTCTATGATAAAATCGGTAGTAATAATTTGACTGGCTTAAATAAAATTTAATATGATCATTTCTTGAATGCGTCTGTCATTTAGACAAAATCTATATAAATAGAAAGGTAAATGTTCCTTTGTTCAAAATATTAAATCTCCGAAAGTTCTTCACCGATTGCTATGAAATTTTCGAATAACGTTGCATTCGAATACGCGCGTGTTTTTATATTATATACAAGTTGAAATCCCCCCACGGAGTAGAAACACAGGATTAACGCATACCGTGAATAACTCGGCTTCTTCTATTATATTTTAGATGCTGTTTTTTGCATTTTTGATTGCGATTTAATAGAGTACGTCAAGACAATGTACACTAAGAAGAGATTTTTCGAAATTCCCCCCGCGGGGAGTGTTATACATTTATAATAGATACATTTTGAGCCACAGCAACGCGTGGCCGGGTATAGATAGTATAAAATGAATTTTTTGTCGTATTTAATAATTTTGTTGAAAGTCATAAAGATAACTAAAATTCATTTTTTATATGATTATTATTCTTATCAAAGACCCACCCGTATTATAATATTTTGCAAAGATTTCCTTTAGTAATATACAAACAATGACAGGGAAAATGTGTGTTGAATAAATTGTGTCTACATCTATCTTTACGTTCTTTAGCTCATTGGTAATCAGATAAGAAGTAAAATTTCCTAGAAAAGGAGAGGATAAACTTATGAAACAAAGCATTACACATAAGGGTCATTTTGTGATTTATTAAATAAACGATATAGCTATTTCTGAAAGAGTATTTTCAAGTTAAAGAATAAATATATTTTTTCATATCAGCGAATTTAATAATTGTTGCAAGTTATTTATTTTCATTGTATTAACAAAGTTTATTTTTATTTATTACTAGCTGCAAGGACCCGCTTCGCTGGGTTTTTATTTTTTCATACATTTGTATGTAATATAGTTGATTTTATATATAAAAGACTGTTTTTCTAAGTAATCTAGAATCTAGCTGCAAGGACCCGCTTCGCTGGGCAAAAAGTAACGATAGTGAAGATTAAGATAATTACATTATAGCCAATTTTACCCGTTTTCACAGAATGCAAGAATTAGGTCCCCATTTCCAGACTAATTAGAGACCTGGTCCCGATTCTATTTCTGGACGTCTCCTGTTCACATCAAGTCAAACAAACTATTTTCAACGTTTCTGGAACGTTTACAATCGTTCTATAATTGAACCAATATTCGAATTTCATGTTCGAATTTAATTGTTCTAATTTGTTCCAACAAATTCGAACAATATTCGAATTAAATTCGAACAAAACATTCGAAATAGAAAGCCACTTTCAACCACTTTCAGCCTCATATCTCCCACACCCTTATAGCTATCGAGACACAACCTTCCTGGTGCAGGAATGGAGACTTGGGGCTACCACCACATACAAACACCATTCACGTGCGATGTGTAGATTTGGCGGAAAAGTGAAATATAGGGACATACATGTCCATATATATATATATATAGATTACTACTTTTTCAAAAGTGTATACAGTAATTCCTGCTCTTACAACTATCCTGTAATTTTACCTCTACAATAGATTATCCATAGAGGAAATGTAACAATAGATACGTTAAACAATACGTCTTTAATCAAAGAAATTATTTTAGATTTGATTACTTATGATATTATAATAGAGAAGGAAAAAAGTCACGTGCTATATTTAAATCACGTGAAATTTATTAAATAATTCTAATAAATATTTTATGACATTTTAAGAATTTTACAGTTTTAATTTTGTCTAATAATAAGTAGGAAAATTGAAAGATTTCTTCATATTTAATTGTTATACGAATTGTTATTCAAGACAAAAATAAATTTAATCTTTATAATTATTTGTAAATTTTTGATGTTTGCCAAGACAGGTTTCATTCGAAGTCAGTTCCCTAAAGAATTTCATTATTTTTGAAGTGATTGTCTTGATCTAAAGTGAAAAATAGCATCGATTGTTATCGTGATTTATATGGAAATTTCCTTATACTACGTTTAAACTTTTATATACTATTATTTAAGATAAAGGTAATAGTTACATTCTAGAAATTTTTGGCCATCGAAAGTAGAATTTCATCAATTAAGTGCATGAAAATTTTCATTCAACCAAGGATATTCCGGAATCCCAAAATTAAACTTTTGATCTACTCAAATTTCGTAACTTTATAAAAGACTTTTTCTTCGAATTTCTTCGTTTCACTAAGTACGAAATCCAGTTTACGTGTTACTTGTTTCCAAATAGAAATTGAGAATAAAATTAATGGATCATAATTTGATGAAAATACAAAATTAATTAAGAGAAATGACGAATTAGCTTGAATTTTTAACTTCTCAAAGAATGAATATGTTTAATCCCGATTTTTGGGGCACAAATCTAATATCTATACAATACGTTGTATAGATCAGTGTTTCTTAACAGGGGGCCGCGGCCCCCTGGGGGTCCGTAAGAAGTTTGCCGGGGGCTGCCAAATTATGCAAAATTTCCTTTAGAATATAATAAAGAGAAAATTGATGTATAACCGAATATTGTATCGAAAAGTGAAATAAGAAAGATAAAGTTTCCGTACTTATTTTTTTTATTTATTTCTTATTTCTTCCTACATAGAACTTTGTTAGTACAGAAGAAATAAATGCAAATATTCTACTTACACCGCAGTATTTACTTCTTTTATTCCAAAGTAATTCTAAGGAACTATTAATGATTGGAATTTTAAAAATAAAGCAATAATAAAAAATCAATTTATTATAGATAATTTAACGAATATAAATTACACTGTTCTGCAAATTATTATTTTAAAAAAATGGGGGTTACAAAAAAAATTATGAAATATTTCGTGGGCCGCCAGTATAAAAAGGTTAAGAACCACTGGTATAGATATAAGAAAACAAATGGTCCTGCAATAGGAAAAATAAGTATAAGAAGAGAAAAATATTGTTTTCCTCGATATTTTTTACAACAACATTATACTAAATTTTTACATTTCAACGTCCAATAACATTAATGTAGTGATCAAACTATATAAAATGTATGTAAACGCAAAGTCATACGATATAGACTTCGATAGATTGACTTGACAAAGTATAAAACCGAAAATTTTTACTTAATCCTGCAAAATAAAGTTATTAATCTCTAAAAATTACTGTAGTATTATAACTTTTTTCATATTGTTATACGAACCGAAATAATGTAATTACAGTCTTTATATTAATTAAAAACTGAAAATTTATAAAATAACAAAATGTCTAATCGCAGAACATGAAATTTTGACTTGTAAAATTTGACTTGCATTGTTTATGTGATATTCTTTACCATCATCTGCATCTTACTTTATTTTATCTTGTTCATGTCTCAGAAAAATACTGTACACTATTATTTTATAAATAATTATATTAAAAAGGATTTCGGGTTTATTGTCTTTTATGAATATAAAATAGAAAACAATTTCGATTTTATCTTTTGTTTATGAAATTAATCTTTCACAATTGCTCTGA